CACAAGAGTCAGATGGGGCGCACCGCCAGCCAAAAGAGGCAAACCCTGCTAAAGCCTCGGAAGTTGCTTTCATTGAGGAAAGAAGGAGCACTGTGCTGCCAAATGCCTCATAGCATAGCCAATGACTGTTCCCTTCCTCCTGAGCCAACCAAAGAAAAGTGTTTCACTGAAGCCAAAGGAGAAAATGCATGCGGGGCAACAAGTCATAGAGTTCTCCCCTCTATCCACTGAAAGGGAAGAAACTCTGGTCCCTGTCAAGATAGGACTAGTCTTCTGTGAGAGTGACAGTGAAGGAGAAAATGATCTGATGGTAAGTGGAACCATCATTGCCATGACTGCTAGAGTGGAGATTTCAGCGTCCTTAGGAGTAAAGCAGGTCCTTACGGCCTTGCTGGACTCACGGTGCACCAGCTCCCAAGTGGTAGAGAAGTCAGGATTGAGGCTAAGAAAGCTAAGGAAACCCATAGCATTTTCTCAGCTAGACAGTTCTGTAATGGGTGGAGTGCCAGCAACCTACTTAACCAAGCTTGTGAAGCTAAAATCTGGACCCCCAGAAACTATTCAATTTATCATGGCCCTGGAGATGATAGAGGCCATGGTCCTGAGCCAGTGGAAAAAATGGAGTCCGTTTTGGAGTTAATTGGGATAGAGACAAGTAGCAGATGTGAAGAAAAGTATCCAACCAGCAAAAGTTAGGGAAAGTGCCAAGCCACCAAGCACCTACAGCTAAGAAAGCGAAAGTGGAACCTTCCAATAAACTAAAGGAAAATGGCAGCTTAGAACCATTGATTCTCAAGGAATATTGCAACCTGGCTGAGGTCTTTAGCAAAGGAATCTAACACACTTCTGTTCCATAGACTGTGCGACTGAGGTGGTTCGTGGAGCTAAACTGTCAAAGACAAAACTATATTCAATGACACCTAGGGAGATGCTCTGCACATTGATAGAAAAAAATTTAGCCAGGGTCTTCATTCAACCGGTTAAGTCAAGGATAGCAGCCCCTGAGCTTTTCAAAGAAAACAAGGATGGATCTCTTAGGCCAGGGGTGTCAAACTCACGGCGTCATGTTGTCATCACATGATGTATCGCGACTTCCCCCCCTTTGCTAAACTGGAGGTGGGCGTGGCCAGCACATGACACATCAGCCTGCGGGCCACAAGTTTGACACCCCTGCTTTAGGCTGTTGGCCAATTATAGAGGGCTAAACTGTATATGTGTGGTGAATGAAGGACATGTTGGCCCATCTTGCAAAGGGAAAGAATTTCATGAAGTTGGACTTGAGGGATGAATACTATAGAATGAAAATTAAGGAGGGGGACGAATGGAAAACAGAGTTCAACTGCCTTCAGGGTTGCTACCAGTTTTGTTTGTGCTACAGTGAGGCCCCAGCAGTGTTCCTGCAACTAATAAATGAAGTCCTGCATAAGCACTTGTACAAGGTGGTCTTGGTATATCTGGACAATATAATACAAAAACCAAGGAAGAGCAAATGAAATTGGTCAGAGCAGTGCTTGAGAAGCTGTGGAGGACTCAGCTTTTCATGAAGTTGTCCAAGTGTGATTACCACAAGATCAGCTTAGACTACCTAGGGTACTGGATTTCAAAAGATGGCATACAGATGAATCCCCGGAAGGTCCAAATGATCTTAGAATGGGAGCGCGAATGAAGATGTAACTTCAGAGTTTCCTCAGCTTCATGAATGGAGAGAGGATATCCTTCCTGGGGGAAGATATCTATGGACTTTATTGTGGAACTGTTGGACAGCACTGGGAATACTGTGATCTGGGTCATTACATACTTATTCTCTAAACAGGCCCACTTTGTGGCATGCCCTAAGATCCCCTCCAATCAGGAGCTGACTAAGATCTTTGTACAGCAGGTGTACTGGCTGCATGGTATTCTAAAACACATAATTTCAGATTGGGGGGTGCAATTTACCTCAAAAATTTGGTCCAAGTTCTTGAGGTTATTAGGCTTCTCCCAGGGTCTTAGCTCTTTCCATCATCCTCAGATGAATGGAGCTTGTGAATGTATGAATGCAGTCATGGAATAGTACCTTTGATGCTAGGTGAACTGCCAGCAAAACAATTGAATTGAATGAACTCTTGCACTTTGCTGAGGTGACCTACAATAACTCTGTGCACAATAGCACTGGATTTGCCCCTTTCGAGTGACTATGGGTGTGGAATTTGTGCCTATGCCAGAGCTTCCTCAAGAATCTCCTTCGTCGACTTAATTGGCTGAGTGGATGAGTACTCTGAAAGCCATCTGGCCTGTAGTGCACAAACATTAGAAGTAGCACAGGAAGTGCAAAAGACAAAGGCTGACAAGAAGAGAGCACCTCAGAGGAAGTTTAGAATAGGGGATGAGGTGTACTTGTCCACAAAGTTCTTGCAATTGGGCCAACCTTGCAAAAAGTTGAGCCCTAAATACATAGGTCCTTTCCATATCATCTGGATTATAAATCCAGTGATGATGGAATTAAAATGACCAAAAAAACCGTAGGTGCATTCATCCAGTGTTTCACTGTATTTCCTAAAGCACTTCCACAGTTTACTGCTGAGACCTGCCATTAAGTCGCCTCTCCCCCCACACGGGTATACAGAGAGAAGCACTTGAGGTCAAGAAGATCCTTGATTCTCAATACCACAAGGGGAAGTTGTGTTATTTAGTCTTATGGAAAGGTTTTTCTTTGACAGAGGCAGAGTAGGTGGCAGTAAGGAGCATCCATGCCCCTAGGCTTATTCAGAAGTTTCATGCCTCTGACCCCGATAGGGTGTTAGTGCGAAAACCCAGAGTGTAGAAATAATGTGCCTGTTTATTTCTTTGTTGGGTTAATCTTCTTTCTGGAGAGTCGGCATATCATACTTGACTCTCTACATAGCCCTCTTGCAATCAGACAACAGTAACAGGAGGGAGGATGGAAGACATTGGTATATAAGGGAGGATTGTGAGGGAACTCTGGAATGCAAATGTGCCGCCTGAAAGCGTGAGACAGACCCAAACCCCAAAGTCATCGCCTGGCAGTCAGGCTGTTTCCAAAATAAAGCAAATGCAACTGACTGGTGGAAAATGGACAATGGGAGCTCCAGTGGGGAAAAAGGAAAGTTTTCCAATGCTGTTTGCATTTGAAAACTTCAGAACTGGTTTTTCTACTTCTGTACCCATATGGGATTTCAGTAAAGTTATATTCTCGGAGAAAAAATGTCCCAGGAGTTTCTTTTGCTGTTTAATGCAGTGGGACGGTTGACATTGTCTTTAAAAAGAATTTATAGAGAAAGAATGTGGAATGGTAGTACAAACAGAATGTAAAAAGCACCACATTTTATTTAAACACTGAACTAAAAAAATGCAATTTACCTGTTTGAATTCAAATTTCTTCTCCAAATTTTTAAAAGGGCATCAGTTATACTGGTTTTTAGAAGCAATTTTATACATTATACAAATTTAGTGTATTTATTTTAATAACAATACGTATTAGAAAAGCAGTTAAGTTCATCACTGAAAAGCTACAATGTCTATAATTTCAAACAGCTAGGCTTATATTGGTTTGAAATTAAACACCATTTGCCTTCAAACAGAAAAATTGTGACTTAGACTGCACTGCACTTGTGGTACTCACCCTAATTTTTACATTCTATAACCCACAAGTGTCCAGTATGAAAAAAAAATTATTTGTGAGAAAAATATTATTAATGCAAAGCTAACATTAAATTTAATATGCGGAAGCAAGAATACTAAAATGTTAAGTTTATTGCTTGTTAATTGACTATTAAAATGAATTCTACCATGTAATTCACAAATTGCAAAAATAATAAGCAATTAAAATAATAAACTATGCTCTGTGTAATCTAATATTTGTTTTAAAAATCAGTTTCCTATTATTTGGAATAATTTATCACTCAAATTTTTAAAGCATTTTTGAAAGTAAATAAAAATGCCACATTTTGAGTTTTGATTGTTGATGTTATAAGCAATATAATATATTGTACGTCATGAGACATTACATAGTGAAGGCAAAATGGGGAAAAATCAGAATTTACTATTTATTTATGTTCTTAAATGATTGTGAATGTGTTTAATTGGCATGACCACTGCAAACTCCAATACCTTGCAATGAGTGGAGCTTATTGGAATACCCACATTTGAGGCTACAAGTACGGTTAGCGCACACATAACTTCAATGCAAAATCCACTGTGAAGAAATAAAAAGAGACAGATGGAGATTTTGTAGTGTAAAAGTGACACACAGGAAATCCCATGCCATGCATTCATCAGGAAAGTGGAAGGATGAAGGATGTAAATGTCAGAACCTCTTGGCAAAGAAGAATGCAACAGATCAAAGTTCATATGGCATGATCTACAGAAAAAATGTGGCTATTCAGAGCCAAATCTATCAATGAGGTTTGAGACAGCACTCAGGGAAAGCCTAAAACAGTTTTTTTTTTAGCTTATTGTATTCATAGTAATGAACAAGAGTCATTTAGATTTTCTGTATCAGATGATAAAATGCCTTAGTTCTATTCTCATTATTAGATTTTTTTCCCTTTTACTTTTAAAATGTAAATAGAATTTTTATTTAATACTCTTGTGCAACTGCATAGCCATATGAATAACTCGGCATCAAATAAAAAACACATTAGTTTTTGCACAAGATCTGTGAAATTAACAGGGCATGCAAAAATCCAAAGGCTGCCTTTTAAAGGAACACAAAGCTACATAAAACTGAATGTGGCTGTGCATCTAGTTATGAATAAATGCTGACAAATTTAAAAGTGCTCAGTTGTATAAAACGTGAAAGATAATTAAATGTTTAAGAATGGAAGTAAAACCTCCTATATCATGTATTTTATAAAAATATGAGGAATGTCTTCTACATCCAATTTAAGTTTCCTACTGTGGTATCATGCCATTATAAACTGATCTGAGCAGCAAGGTTAAAAAAAATAAAAACGAATAATCCAGACCAGCTTGGCTGCAGTCACAGGGCAAAGGCATACCTTGCAGTGTGTAGTACTGACAGGAAGTCCAACATTGGAAGCTATCACAACTGTGAACGCCGAAGCCAACTCAATAGTGAAACCACTGCAGGAAGCATAAGAAAACACTTCACAGTCATTCTTTTTTTTTTAAAAAAAAAAAACTTGATCTATCAGTCTGGGTTTATACCTTGCAACATGCCAAAAGCTTACCCGTTCTTCTTCAAATGCTTTCCTCCAATGTTTGATCATTGAGTTATATTAAAAGAATAAGAAGCTGCTGGATAATGAAAACTATATACACACACATTCATCCAGATTAAATTAGTGAAGCAGCTTTCTGGTACCTGATCTAATCTATATTCCAAGAAATTAAGACTTAATTAGCAATTAGGTTAGCAGCAGAATTCTAGTATGCATTAAAAACAAATAAAAATCATGGATCCAGTTTTTAGTTTTGGAAAGCAAAACTAAACTACTTTGATTTATGAATTTTTTCTATGCTATTCGAGACATTGTCAGACTTTTCTGCTCAACTAGACCTCAACAATTTAGGCACATTATGTTAGTTTAAAGACAAGATATTCAAGTCAGTTCAAAAGCAAAAATAATTAGGGGCAAAGATGCCATAGCAAAATTTATCAAAATTTATCATTATCCACTCATGCACTTACCTTGATGGTGTGATAGGTGTGAGGTCTTTTCCCATTGTTTGGATCACTCTTCGTCCCCAGACCCAGAGTCCTACACAGATGCCAATGCCTCCATACAGTAGCAGCCAAACAGGAGTAGGAGAATCTTGCATTACACCACCCTGATCATATATAAGCCAGAGGGCAACCAAAGGGCCTATAGCATTGCTAGAGAAGAAAATATAACATCAAATCCTAAATACATTGCTTTAATAGCTTGCAGGCTATCTTAACGTACATCAGACTAGCTTCTTACAAAGAGCTGTTTTTCTATAAGCATTAGCTTTAAAATGTCTTCTCAGTCAATCTCCTTCAATGTTCTTAATTTCTTGCTTCCCTGAGCATAGTGGCCATGCTATTAGAGAATACTAAATGACTCTTGTGCATGTCTCATGAATATTACTTGGCAAAAATCTACACCTAACATAGACCAACCGTTAAAGTATTTTGCTGATTGTTTATAATTGGTTTTATGATATTTATGCCCAGATGACTTCAGAACTTTTGACTATGTAATAGTTAGTACAGCAACATTAGCCCCAAGTTCATTTCTGAGCTCAAATCCAAGTTCGTTTGAAGTGCTAAATGTTATCAAGTGTGGCTACCTCAGGTAATGTTTTCTCTGTTGTAAATCTATGTATTTACCAAGAGGAGTCTAAAAAAGACCTTGTTTTATATTAATCTCTAACACAAAGTTAGATTTGTGTTAGAAGAGATCAAGTAGGGGTTCCTTCCTTCTCTTCCTCAATGTTCAGGGCTATTTGCATGGACCATTTAAAAATCATGCAATTAAAAGTGGGCTGGAACTTGAAAATAAAATATAGGACTCAATACATATCAGCTTGAAATACACAATGGACATCAGAAAAGTGCTAGGAATTTCATAAACAGTAGTGCCAGATTAGGACTCTTTCAATCTGACAAATGATTTAGAAGACATTGGATTTCATACATACATACATTTTTCTACTATTTGATGAGCAGTCGGACTTTTGTGCAAGGTTGGAAATAGTTATCGTTGTTTTAAGGAAATCCAATTGATAAAACAACTATCTACCATCTTGATGTGACAAAACATACAAGTCCTGCTCATTTTTTTCTGAGACTGGTTGTGCAATAATACCTACTTAAAAGACTGCAATTGTGGTAATTCAAAAGCAGAATTATTATTTCATTTGGTTTATGACCGATGATTAAGACAAGATGAGGGATATTCAAAGAAGATTTGAAGGAGAATAATGCTGTGTTACTTTACTACCATTATTAACATACAGCATTTTTGAACAATGTTGAATAATTTGTCGCTGGACAAATAAATTGAATATATTTCAAAACAATACAACTTACAATAAATAAATTTGAAACAATCTGAAATGAGCTTACATTATTTAAGATTCTAAATACAGTATTTCAAGCTTTAAATTTTTCAATTTTAAACCATTTTGCATAATGCTAATAAATATACCGGTATATGTTCATTACAGAAAATAAATTTCCCAACAACAGCAGAGAAATGAAATTGTAGGACAAGAACAGGAGAATAGAGACTTATTCAGGTTGATTGTTTTTCATATACTTACAAATGGAAAGAAAGAGAACCCATCTATTTATTACATTTATATCCTGGATTTCATTCAGGAGCTCAAGACAGCATAAATAGTGTTTCCTGTCCTATTTATCTTCAGACAACAAACATATGAAGTAATTTGCGCTGAAAGAGAATGACTAGTCCAAAATCATCTGTGAACTTCTGTGGCTGAGGGTGAATCAGAATAATTATCTCCCGGCTCTTAATCCAACACCTTACTCACTCACACTATCACAGCAATGTTTTATTCAGTTTCAGCAATATTTTATTCTCACGCTTATGCAGGAAATGTAATATGTAAACTCACAAATCTAAAACTGCAGTTGGAATTTTCCCAACTAGTTCAGTTTACCAGAAAAACTTATTAGCAGTGCTTCACTTTAAGAATGTGAGAGAAGCTAAAACTCATCAATGCTCTTTTTAGTGTTTCAGTTGGTTCAGTTGGTTCTTAGCCTAATTGGTTTCCAGAAGCTGCTCAAATCAAAGTTCTTCCATGGAGCATGTGGGTCTTGACATCATCTTGGTTTGGTTGATTCAACTTTATTCTCAGTTTTTCATCAATTTATTGGTAGTTTATTGTTTGGTTTTTATTTACTGCATATCATTTCTAACACACCACCAAAAGTCCTTAGGGGTTTGGCAGTCTATAAATGTAAAAAATATTCATAAGCATTTTGGTTGGAACTTTTTCTATCTTATAACATCAGTTGGATAATTTCTAGTTCCTGCCTGGAACTATTTGCATTGTGTTATTCCTTAATAATAAAAATATTGATATAGAGGTTAAACAGTATCAAGTGTTGAAAACTGACTTGCAGTCATAAACTGCTTTATTTTCTAATGATATCAATTGTATCTACATTAAGGCAAGAGACATTTTGGAAATAAAATTATTTTTGATAATAGTGACTCTCAAAAAATTAAACTACATGCAACTGCAAACAGGTCACAAGAATATTATATTGTGCTTGTAATACATTTAATAGCTAATGTAAAATTGGTAATTACCTGTCAACAGGATTTCCATATACTCCATTTTCTATGTATGAATAGTGTTCCATGCCTGCAATCTTTTAAATAAACTATTATGGCAGTATTGCAATGTTTTATGTTAAGGGAGAACTGCTGAATCTGGTTATCCTCTCCACCCCCCCTTTCCCCTGCAAAAAAAAGCATGACCCTATCTTGTAAATGTATGGATGTTTCCATAATAGCAATGAAGGTCTCTCAAGCTGTTTACTTGCCATTGACAATTTGCTGTTGCAGAAACTTCAGTAAGTACTCACAGAATATAATTTGGGAGTTGCTATTATATTTCTAAAAAAGGAGAGGAAATAATAAAGAAGCAGAAACTATAGAACACCCACAAGGTTAAAACAGCAACACTTGAATATTATAGCTCACCAACATCTTCAAGCCAGGATTATCTGATAATAACCATCTGCTTTCTATTCTTCCTGGAATGAATTGCTATTCCAACCAATCATATATAATCTTGTGGACAGTTACAAGGAATCAAATTGTATCATTTTCCTTTTATAACATAGCTGGGTTTTACAATTGCTAATTCTAATTTTCCTTCTAAAAATATTTGCAGAAAGCACAGAATATTTTTGAATTATTAGCAACAGCTGGCCTCTATCTGGAAGAACAAACACAAAAGTAAGACATGAATCTCTTTTTGTTATGAGAGGCCTGATGACTGTATTGGCTTAGTAAATTTATATGCTCATGCTGGTTTTTTTTTTTTTTTACTTGAGCAACCATTCCTTGGTTTATTCACCATAGGGGTGAGATCCTTGTTTATCTGTGTTGTTTTTTATGCAAATGAGTAGAAATTACAGCAAAAAATAGATCAAAGTTGACATAAAGTTACAGATAAAACCATTTTTAATAAGCATCTTAAATGTTTAAAATTGTTGAGAATCAGTGAAGACCATAATGATAGAAGAACTCTCAACAGTGGAACCAATCACAACACTCACAAATTGCTATAATACAATAAACATGCAGGCATTATTACTTACCTGACATCATTACCTCCATGAGCAAAAGACCCAAAGCAAGCTGTCAGGATTTGGAGGAAGTGAAAAAGCAGATGGACCTCTGAAGTGTCCCGTTCATCTCTCTCTTCTTCTGCAGTATCTTCATTGGGATTATTAGGATCTACTAATTCTGATGCCAATTTCATCTCTACACCACCTTCCTCTGCTTCAATTTCTGCTTCAGCTACAGCATTGCAATAGCTGGAGTAGCTGTCATAGCGAACCCTCTTTTTGGAGTAAGATACCGTGTCCGTAACTAGCTTTTCACTGTCTTCTGGAGTTGACATGTCAGCAGCCTTGAAGGAAGAATGCACAGGCATCCCACATATGGCAGCTGTGTAACAAGTGTAGCTATTGTTGCGCCGCAATAACTTATAGTTATTTTCTTGCGAAGGCCTATCTTCATTCCCTCTATCTAGATGTATTTTGTGCAGTAAGTCTTTGTATAATCCTGAGTCTTTGTGCACGGTGTGGTACACATGGATGTCACTCTTCATGTGGCCATCAAAATTAAATGTACCATTGGAGACAGGTGATTTCACCATACTGTGAGTCATTGAAAATGCCCTTCCTGAAATATTACAGAAAAACCTTATTTTTCAAAGAAAATTCAAAAGGTTTGCAACACATTTTAGAAAATATTGCTTCTTTATTTTCTATTTTTTCACAAGTCTATCCTATTAGCAAGTGCAAATAGGATAATAAAAGCAATAGAAACAGTAGATCCTATTTATTTAAGAAAATATACCCACAGACAGTCCTCGACTCACAATGATTTGTTTAATGAGGTTGCAACTGCGTCAGAAAGTTATTTACGATCTATACTCACACTTAAACCATTGCACCATTCTTGTGGACATATAATTGTTATTCACGCACTTGGCAACAGGCCCTTATTTGCAACTGGTTGCAATATCCTGCAGATACAATTGAAATTTGTGATCTTTTTTTTGCTAATTTCCAACCAAAAATGCCATTGCGATTTGCTTTATGACCAGGGTGATTTACTAAGTGGTTGTTTACAAGTTAAAACTTGTATAAGTAGACTATAACTATAAGTATAGTCATAACAATGGAAATTCCAGGTCCACATGTGTTTTTAAGTGGAGGATTACCTGTAGTTCAAATTAAAATGCATTAAAAGTGCCAAGCCCTTATGTCCAGCTGCAGGCTAAAATATAGGAAAAGCATCCAGAACTGTGTGGGCTCTGTCAAAGTTAAAAAGGAACAAGACTAAAATTAATTCAATAAGATACAAAAGGGGCAGGGATAAAATCAACACATTTAACTAGTCCCGTATTCACTACAGGGACAGCACAATGGCTCAGCTGGTTTGTTGGCTTGAAAACTGGAAGCTCAGATTCGAGACCTGAGTGCCACGCAATGGGATGAGCTCCCATCTTTGCCCCAGCTCTTACCAACCTGGCAATTTAAAAGCATGCAAATGTGAGTAGATAAATAGATACCACTTCGGTAGAAGTTAACAGCACTCTGTGACATTATGACCATGCAAAATATTTTCAGACAGCACTGACTAAATGGCCTTAAAATAGAGATGAGCATCCCCTCCTATAGTCAGCAATGATTACCAGAGTAAAATCTGCAGATATTCCTTTACTTATTATATTCAGTACATATCCACCAAATGCTGCAAATAGTGGAACAGAATTTTGCAATGCTATGTGTGGTACAGAATTATCACCCTCTAGAAATTAGACATAGGCCAAATCTAGTCTATCAGTGCATTAGGGGAAACATAAGCCCAACCATTATATCCTTATAAAATGGGCAATGGAAAACGACTTGTTTCAAGTTTCTACCTTTCTTGTGTCACAGAGACAAAATCTTTTAACTATTGGGCATCTTTATACCAGAACATAGAAGTTAATACTTAGGACCTCATCAGGATAAAACTAATTTATCTAAATCAATAGCAAATAATTCTGAAATGAAATGAGGGAAGAGATGGAGACAAAGGATGTATACATGCTAGGTCTTTTTTCCTGGCTCACTTGGCCAGCCATCCCTCCTTCTTGGACTGCAGCAACTTTGTGAGGGATGGCAGAAGGGGCTTTTTCAAATTGGCCTGCTATCACTTTTATACTTGCAGTATTTACAACAAATTTGGTTCCATGTTCTTTTTACCTTTCCTTTGCAATTTGTGATGTCTTTACCATTATATTATAAGTTTATGGATAAAGCCTGTATTCTTTCATACATGAAAAGTCATTCTATGTCAAGTGGTCTGATTTCAGAAAAGTGCCACCTCAACCACTACAGATTTTGATGAAATTTTGTGTGAACATGCACACACGTCCCCAATGAACATTGGTAAAGTGTTATGTGTACTTGCATCATGGGTGCACGAATACTCGCAACACTTCTGTGCATGCGCAGAAACGTCCAGGCGAGAGAGAGAGAGTGTGTGTGTGTGTGTGTGTGTGTGTGTGTGTGTGTGTGAAGTTTTCCCACTGCCACCGGTTCGCCCAATCTGGGGCAAATCAGTAGCAACCCACCACTGGTATGACCCCATACCACAGCCTTCTACAGTATGACTCTGAGGTTCCAGCAAATTTGAGACATAATATCTCTGACAATATTTTGTTGAGAGAAACAAAACTTGGCCATCTTGTAGAACTTTTTGTGCTCTATTAAAACAAAATAATAAAAACATTCTCATGAGCGATCTCCATCTAGATAATTTGGAGCAAAGTTGGCAGAAAATATTGCGGCTCAAAAAAAGGTTGAAGTTTGGCTTTTTATATCTCTGGAAGGAAAGTTATGATAAACGTGAAACTTTGTGCATAATAACTTAGCAACACAAGGTTTTTGAATATAAAATTTCATTCTCCTACTGCTTTCTAATAGTTTACAAATTGAGTGTAAAGTTGAAGTTTCTTGTAAAAATGCCAAAAATAGGGTATTTTCAGCCCACTTTTACAAAAAAAAAAAAAAAAAAAAAAAAACCCTCCTGGAAACTCTGTTGAATCATTCTCATAAGAAAGAGCATGTTTCAACCCCACACAAAAAAGTAGGATTGGTTTTTCATCGCTGAAGTATAAAGCCCTAAAAATAGGGACAAAGTTGAGGACGTTGCGGTACCAAAGTCATGTACGTCAACACACATTCTTTTATATTGTGCCGTTGTCATTTCATTTATATTGGAGTTTAAAGTGTATAATTCATTTCTTGCATGGTATATGAATCTGTTAATCTACTAGCGATGCTTCTACACTAATGATAGAGGTTAAATGTGCTGTAAGTACTTTAGTGACACCACACGTTAGCATGTTAAACAGTTATAGGATTCTGAACTGTATAGGTATAGTTGTCATATTTCTGTCAAAAAACGCCTCCTTTTTTGCAGGAAGGGCAAAAAAGCCCCTGGGGAGCGCAAAAAATGCCTTTTTTTATGAAAAAAAGGGCCCATTTTTGGCCTCACAAACCCCCCCACACGTCACATTTTTTCTCTCCCCAGCACCCAGGAGCACTCTGAAGGCTTCCCAAACCCTCTGTGCACCTCATTTTTGCAAAAACGGATCCATTTTTGGCCCCCCAAAGCCCCCATGTGTCACGTTTTTGCCCCCCCCCAGCCCCAAGGAGCACTCTGCAGGCCTCCCAAACCCTGTGCAGGCTCCATTTTTACAAAAACGGGCCTATTTTTGGCAAAAACGGGATATATGGCATGGGATTTCAGGAGACCAAAAATGGCTGTATTCGGTGTGTAAAACACACCAATATTTTCACCCTCTTTTAGGGGGCAAAAAGTATGTCTTATACTCCTAAGAGTACGGTATATCTCCATAAGTATTGCATCGGCACACGTAACACTTTACCAATGTTCACTGGGGACATGTGTGCATGTTCACACAAAATTTCATCGAAATCCATGATGGTTGAGCAGGGACCACCAGACCACTTGACATTGAATGACCTAGCAGTTTTGATGATGATGTTGATAATTAGGCTGTATGTTTTAATTTAAGCATAAAAATATTCTACTGTTAGTATTGCCACAGAAATATTCCATATTCCTGTTCTTGATCACTAAAAAAGATGAACTGTCCAGAGAGACAGGTTTGCAGTACTTAGAAGTAAGAGAACAATAGAAGATTAGGAAAACTGACCAAGAGTAGTAATGCATCTGAAATATATAAGCAAAATTAATTGAGATTAACTGACCAAGAGTGGTAATGAATCTGAAATATATTAGCAAAATTAATTGAGAGGAAAGAAAGGAGCTGCTTGTTTGTGTGGCACTGGGTGAAGGATAGATACATGGATGATGAGGTCCAGTGGAGGCTAGAGCTGTACATAAGCCTGCATACACATTATTCAGAGAAAAAAATATACAAATTATTTTTTTGCTTGTATTAATTGTTATCATTATAAATTTGTTAGAGGGCTAGAGCCTTAATACATAGCAGTTTGACACTACACATAAAACACATATAGAGAAACAATACATAAACTCTTAATTTCTCACCATATGGTACACGTGGATGACTACCATTTGCTATATTATCTGATACGCCAGCATCTTCTGTTCCACAGCTAGTCAGGGGAATAGTACTTTCATCACTTTCTTTTACACCAGGAAGTTCTTTAAAGACAGGCATATCCTCTTCTTGAATTTTGTCAATGCTTTCGTCAGATATTTTTGATAGTGCACTTTCCTTCTTTAAACGACCTAGATAAAATGCAGGAGTTTAGAAACAATAATTCATTTACAGAACTACCTTTCAGGGTCAACATGTCTGATGTCCTTTAAGCAAACTGACTACAGTGATACAATAATTTACTATTTTGTTAGCTCGAGGCACAGTTCATATATAACTTCACACTAATAAAACAAAAATGTTTTTAGCATAATCATCAACTATTTAGTTTGGAATACCAAACTTTAATCTGTCTTCTTAATTCTTACTTCAAAGTATGTTGCAAAGAAGAAATATTTTTGCCAGGACCAAAAGATTCTGCACTTAGTCAAACCCAATCGTGTATAATTTAATTCCTTTTACACACAATTTGCATTTCTTGTATGTATGTAAAATTGTATTTGGGATCATGGTAATTTTTAAAATGCAAGCAATAAAATACCAGTCTTACAGCACTCAATAAATACTTATAGTATGTTATTAAAGTATTATAGCAGTGTTCTAGAAGTCCTCATGTGAAAGATTTAAAATAAGATTATTTCAACCCATCATTTTATGAAAAAACATACTTGCTATTTTTCTTTTCATCCATGGACATACAAATATCCATACTAAGGCAGCAAATACAATTGACACACCAATTGATATCAGTGCTATTGCCCATAGAGGAAGTGTAATTCCAAGGACTGAAAAAAGAAGAAAATAAAAGTGTGCATTTCTTATGTACTTATCAGGTAACTGTTATATTTTAGAAAGGATCTGGAATATTGTTTCAGAAATATAAGCCATTAAATCACAAAATTACCGTATTTTTCAGAGTATAAGACGCACCTTTTTCTCTCCAAAAAGGGGGTGAAAATTTAGATGCGGCTTATACACCGAATGTAGCCTCGCCCACCTACTGGCCCCCACCCTTTGGCTTCTGCCTCCCAGCAGTTTACCTCCTTGCAGCAAGCAGCATGAATAAACAGCTCATTTCAGCTTCAGCACAGCCTAATTAGCATAAGTTGATTGTCCGTTGGATCAACCACCCAACTCTCAGCTGTTTTGCGTAGGCCTCTGCTGCTTGCTGCAAGGAGGTAAATTGCTGGGAGCAGAGTTTTTTTTCTTGTGCTAATCAAGCTATGCTGAAAACAAAAATGAAAGTAAAGCAGGCTATTTGCTGTTTGCTGCAACGAGGCAAAATTGCTGGGAGGCAGAAGCAGATTTCTTTTTCTTGTTTTCCTCACCAAAAAAGGTAGGTGCGTCTTATAGTCCGGAGTGTCTTATACTCTGAAAAATACGGTAAGTCACTTTCTTTGTAATACAAGGATATACCGTGCTTTTCGGAGTATAAGATGCACTTTTCCCCCTCCAAAAAAGTGGGTGGAAATCCTGTGCGTCTTATATAGCAAATGTTGCCGAAGCCCTGCTCACCCGCTGGCCCCCACCCTTCAGCCTCTCTCTCCCAGCAATTTACCTCCTTGCAGCAAACAGCAAGGTCAGCTTCAGCACAGCCTGATTTAGCACGAGCAACTGATTGGTGGTTGGATTGGCCTCCTGGAATACTGCCTAACAGCTGTTCCAGGCTATGGAGATCACTGCCACCCATCGCTGCTGTGGCCACCCATCGCCGCTGTCACCTATCGCCTCCTCCGCATGCCCCATTTTCAGCCTCCAAGCATCCCGTTTTCGGCCTGTTCCAGGCGGCGGTGATAGGTGACAGCAACGATGGGCGGCGCTGGCATCGATGGGCAGCAGCAATCCCCGCAGCCTGGAACAGCTGATAGGAGGTATTCCAGGAGGCTGATCCAACCGTCAATCAGCTGCTTGTGCTAAATCAAGCTGTCCACACTGTTTGCTGTTTCATGCAAGGAGACAAATTGCTGGGAGGCAGATGCAGATTTTTTTTTCTTGTTTTCCCCCCCAAAAGCTATGTGTGTCTTATACTTCGGAGCATCTTATAGTCCGAAAAATACAATAAATTGTTTTATAAAATTATTATAAAGCAGAAGATTGCATCCCATCCGCCTGTCTTGGATTACATAGAAAAATATATTATGACAAATGAACATTAAAATTTATATTAAAATCATAAAACATGAGAAATATTATATTGTGCTGGATTTAATGTTTAACCTCTCATAAGGAGAATAGAATTCTTGTACTAATTCACTTAAATTAAAAAAAGGATGTATGTACAGCAATTGCTGTTTTTCAAGCCAAATATTGCAAGTATTGAGGCTAACTTTTAGAAAAATCTTGGCTTGCAGATATTATCCTTTTCATGGAAAAAAAAGCCAGGGTAAATTAAGGTGGGAAGAGTACAAAATTATATTCTGTGTTCCAAAAGATAATACAATCTTTTCACAGCAGACTCCATCTACTCACCTGGAGCACCTGTATACATTATGGAGAACACATTAATAGTTATTGTAGCAGCATAGAATACTGGAAGAGCACGGAGACCATTTGGTACTGGATCTTCCTACATTTAAAAAAATAAGAATTTTTGAGATGTAATTGATAAAATCAGATTGTTTTTTAAAAATCAATACTTTATGCTCTAAACATTTTTAATACTAAAATTATTTCAGTCTGCTTGGAAAAACATGCAGTAATCAAAAGGTAACCTGAATTCTGACATCAGCCCCATCATCATAAGAACAAAATGAAAATATACAATGTTGATCTGCTGTGATTTAATTGAAAATTATAGAAGATAAATTTTGGCTGGTTCAGTATTCTCTCCTAAAAAAGGTAGAAGCTGACATTGATATTGAATATACATAACTAACAGCTTGTTATTAGGTAGACATATATTATTAGATATATTATTCTCATATAGAAGAAAAAAAATGATGGTACCATCAGCCCAGAAAAGTGGAGCACATACTTCATTTTATAGAATGGTGGTAAGATTTGAACATCTGAATTATTTCCACTGAACTAAATACATTCCCTAATCCCGTGATGGCAAACCTATGGCACGCATGCCACAGGTGGCACGCGGAGCCATATCTGTGGGCACGCGAGCGTTGCCTTATCTCAGCTCCAGCATGCATGCATGCGCCGACCAGCTGATTTTTGGACCTTTCAGGCCCACTGGAAGTCAGGAAACAGGCCGTTTCCGGCCTCCAGAGGGGGGGTGGGGAAGGCTGTTTTCACCCTCCTCAGGATCCTAGAAAGCCTCTGGAGCCTGGGGAAGGCAAAAAAACAGGTCTACCGGGCCCACCGGGCCATTGCATGCCAAAAGCAGGGGGAACGTGTGTGGGGGGTCACACGTGTATGCACGGGGTGCGGGGTGCATTGAATTATGTGTGTGGCATGCACGTGCGCGACCCTCCAGCACTCCCCCCCCCACTTTTGGCACTTGACAGCAAAAAGGTTTGCCATCACTGCCCTAATCCATTCCATAACTTATCACTCTTTCACTTGTCTTGCTAGTTCGGTAACCCATTCAGGATTAGGTATACAGAAAATTATCTTGAATAGACATTACAAAGCATTAGATAAAGTTCTACAAGAACTCACCTCCCAAAGGAAAATCGAGGAGGTAGAACTATCAAGAGATGTTTGACCTCTTCATAAACTACCAAGGACTTTAAAAGCCAAACAGATTTTTATGTTTGCAATTATTTATTATATAATTGCTGAGAGGAATGATAGTTCAAAGTATTGCTTTTTTGAGCTGTTTTCAAGAACTTTCGCCCTACGAACATATACCATATTATCTATTGTTTCAGCCAAGGATCAGCTGCTAAGATAGCATCTTTCTTTGTAATGTTTTAGCTTCAATAGAATGCCCTCCAATTTCAAGGAAATGTTTAAATTCTACAGTAAACTCTTCACTTTTCCTTACCATTTATGTAAGGGAAAATACAAAACCTTGCTAGGGAGATTTTATCACCAAATTTTTTCAATTGCACATACCAAGGTATTTATAATGTAGTATGCCAAAAACAAGCAACAAGCAGTGAACCACTGGAATTCTATACTCCCTACCTCTCATTTTTTGACATAATGGTAAAAGAGCAATTTAATTTTATTAACTGTTGCTTAGTACAAGATCTATACCTGGTTTTCTTACACTTCTTTAACTGACACCAAGGTTGTATGAGGGAAAGTAAAGGAAGTGAAAATGTGAACAAATGCGGGGGAGCCTGCCTGGGTATTTAGAACAAGCAAATAAAAAAGAATAAAAGGTCAACAATTGGAGGAAGAAATAGAACTTCATGATCAGTGGGGGCAAAGGTATCAAGAAACAAAATGTTTTCTTTTTCTAAATTCTTTTTCAAAATAATACAATTTCATAATACAATCTACTTTCATTATTTAATTTCCATTTGAAAATGTGTCATGGAGTTCTGTTTTAGCAAGCTGTATTTTTTAAAATGAATAAAATATAGTGATTCAAATCCATTTTAAAAATAAAATTAACACAGTTGTGAGTTTCAATCCAGGCTGTTATTGAGGATTAGTTTAATGTAAAAACTCATATCAAGTATGCACATATTTACATTTGGGGGCAGATGTTTTTCTGCCAAATGAGAAATATATTGCACCAAATAAGGAGGAATTTTTCTAAGAGGAGGCTGAATCTTGCATTATTAGAGAAATCAGATGAGCTTTGCCATTTCAGTAACTTTAATAGAAAAATATATCTTTAAAGTGTATAATTGTAGTTGAAATACTAGGAGAGATAGGACTGTGAAGCTTTTCCTCCTTTTCATCTTAAATCCAAATAGTCCTCGACCTACAACCATAATAGAGCCTTCAATTATGATTGCAAATAATAGTTAGACAAGATTGTCTCATTTGACAACTCCCCTTCTAATCTCTCTGATGCAGTAATCAATCAATCAATCAATCAATCAGAATAGCTATATTCTGATCGAAGGTCAGAATATAGAAGACCTTGGAGGTCTTCTAGTCCAACCTCCTGCTCAAGCAGGAGACCCTATACCAGTGATGGCTAACCTTTTTTCCCTCGGGTGCCAAAAGAGTGCGCGCGTGCGCTATCGCATGCGCGCACGTGATCACACCCATAATGCAATGCCCCTCCCACTTACCCCGCCCCTCTGCACATGTGTGCGACTCCCCCGCATGCGCACATGACCTCCGCTCCCCCCGCACATGCGCGTGAGACCCCTCCCCACCCTTTTGGCCTCACATCCCAAAACAGCACTGGGGGTGAAAGCCTTTGCTTTCCAAAATGGCTGGGGGGGGGGGAAGCTTCCAAAACAGCTGGGAGGAGGAAAAAAAGCCTCACCTCCCAAAACATCGCTGGGAGGGGAATCTCCAGAGATCTGGGAGGGCACAGGCAGCAGAAAGTGAAGAGAAAGGTAGATCTTCCCACGCATGCCGCTTGCAGGGTAGACCCGAAAATCAGCTGGCCGGCGGGAAGCAATTGCACATGCGCAGTGGACCTGAGCTAGGTGATGGTTTGCGTGCCCGCAGAGAGGCTCTGCATGCCACCTGTGGCATGCATGCCATAGGTTTGCCATCACGACCCTATACCATTTCAGGCAGGTGGCTGTCTAGTCTTTTCTTTAAAACTCCCAGTGATAAAACACTTCTAACGTCTGAAGGCAAGCTATTCCATTGATTCATTGTCCTCACTGTTGGGAAGTTTCTCCTTAATTGCAGATTGCTTCTCTTCTTGATTAGTTAAATAATAGTGTGGGTTAACTGGAACATGGGGTGGGAAAGGACTTGGGAAGCTTAGAGGAGGCCAGGCCCACCTGCTCTAGGCCTTGCAAAGCCTCCCTCAACCCACAAACCTTGTCCCTGCTTCCCACCCATCATATCCCACACCCCACCAACTTTGCCTAGCTTTCAAAGATTTCCAGAGTTTCGGAGCTTCTGTTAGGGAACACTTCATTGCTGGTCCAAATGGCACAGAAGAGAGGTGGTATTCAGCAGGTTCTGACCAGTTCTGGAGAACCGGTAGCGGAAATTTTAAGTAGTTTGGAGAACTGGTAAATACCACCTCTGACTGGTCCCGCCCCCATCTATTCTCTGCCTCCCAAGTCTCAGCTGATCGGGAGGAAATGGGGATTTTGCAGTAACCTTTCCCTGGAGTGGGGAGGGAATGGAGATTTTACAGTATCCTTCCCCTGCCATGCCCACCAAGCCACGTCCATCAAGCCATGCCACGCCCACCAAGCCATGCCCACAGAACCGGTAGTAAAAAATTTTTGAATCCCACCACTGGCACAGATCCCAATTTGGTTGTTTTCCAAATGGCCACATTGAATAGCAATTACTCAGAAAATGGTGGGCATTTTCAGGATCACCCCACATTACTCAGCAATGAAGCAGTCTATTCTGCTTCCCTAACACAATGTGTCCAGAGCTTTCCAAAGAAATGCACAGACCATATTAGGACAGCAGAATAAATCGCTCCTTCCCTGGCCTACATGGTTGCATTCTGGAATGAACTGCCTTTTCAGTGCTGCCACAATTCAGTGCATTTACTTTGAAGCCACTGGGATGGTGCTAAGTGGCCTAGCAGCTAACCAACTTGGTATGTTCCCTAATCCAAGCTCTGGAGCTCTTGAAAGGTAAGTGAAGAGTATAGGGCCTGGGGTGGGAAGCAGGCCAAAGAACTGTGGGAACATGGCAAGGGGTAAATGGGAGGAGATAGGCAGGGGGGAGCATTGCAGTATCCCTGTGGGTCAGTTATAAGGGCAGTGAGGGTAGTGTAATAGTCGTAAATTCAGGACCGAGTCAAAAGTAGTTTTTTGGGGAATGAAAAGGTTGCTATGCGATCAATCACAAATCAATGACTACTTATACTTAATGTGTCCCTCTATATTCAATAAAAATGATTATTGTACCCGTGGAGTTACTGAGTTTCAATGTAATTTTTAGAGTAACATTAAAATGTATTTATGAAATAGATAATTTATTATTTTAACCAAAACAGTTTAAAAACTGAGGACCTAAATTTTTAAACCAACTAGGTATGCAGATATTCTTATACAAATACTATTATGCAATTATTATACAAATGCTTAAATGTCAGATACATCATTAGAAATTAACAGATACTGCTTATGTTTCATTCTAATTTGCATACCATTTTCATTTTATTTATTAGCATTATGGTTTTAATGCAATATTATTATTCTGTTCTTGTGAATTAGAGTGTGTAGACATACTGCAAAATAAATATAAACATCATTAAATGCCATACCTTTATAATTTATAACCCTATAATGCCTTTCAGTGTGCCTGATGGGAATGAGGTACAACAAATAGCATCAATGCATTGTTATAGTATCAACAGTACTAACCTTATTTAAGATGAAAAATCTGATCAAAAGAAACAGCGCACCAGACATCATACCAGATAGTAGTGGGGAGATAAACCAGGAAGCAACTGAGTATAAAAAATTTAAAATATTACATTCAATAATTAGTAAGGTTCCATCCAATGTAAAATTCTGCCAAAAACAACTTGTTCTTTATGTTAGTTTCTTTTCGTTTAAATAGACTCAAAGTTATTTTTTAAAAATTCCAAAATTCAGCCAAGGTAAAGATGTTTGAATCCAACTGATTTCAATAGAAATGTTATGTCATACTAAGTAAATTTATATTTAAAAGTACTCTTAAATACGTTTTTTTGCATTTCCAAGATTTCATCAGAATTTTTTTTTACTCTGTGCTCACAAGTCAAGTTTGCTTAGTTTTTCTTTGTATTAAAATGTCCATCCTACTTTTTTAGTTTTTTCCATATAGCTTTTACTGTTTACAATCAGCACTAGAGTTTAATTTCTTGAAGTTAGAAAAACCATTTAAAATGGGGGAAAAAATGATTGTGTGTGCAAATGTGTATGTATGTATTGGTATGTAAAAGTGGTTTTATCTGCTAGCATAAAGAATGTCATATAAATTAACTAAATAAAAGTACTCCTGAAGTTTATAAATACTGAATTTATACAGGTAAGCCTCGACTTACGACCACAATTGAGCCCAAAATTTCTGTTGCTAAGTAAAACATTTGTTAAGTGATTCAGTGCAGTTGTTAAATTGATCACACAGTTGTTAGATGAATCTGGATTCCCCATTGACTTTGCTTGTCAGAAGGTTACAAAAGGCAATCACGTGACCTTGAGACACTACAACTGTCGTAGATATGAACCAGTTTCCAAGTGTCCAAATTTTGATCACATACCATGGGAATGCTGCAAAGATCATAAGTGTGAAAAACGGTTGTAAGTCCCTTTTTTCAGTGCCATTGTAATTTTGAATGCTCACTAAATGAAGTGTTGTAAATTGAGGACTACCTTTTAAATTCTTTAAAAACTTTTAAAAATAACAGTAACATATACTTTGTAGGAATATAAACATAACGAAATTCCATTGAATATTATGTGAAATCAACATGCCTATCTCTAATTTTGGTCTACTCAATTAATTTTACCAAATTTAATTGGTTGCAGAAGGACATCAACATATAATATTCCAATAATACTAAAAGTTTTCATAGCTTAACACAATTTTAAGAATGCTTTATTTTTTAATGCAACTATGTTACATTAGAGAACTAGTTTAGTGTAGTAGTTAAGGCAGTGTTCCTCAAGCATAGCAACTTTAACTTGCTGAATGGAAATTCTGGGAGTTGAACTCCATGTTATCTTAAATTTACTAAGATTGAGAAATGCTAATTCAAGATATTAGGCTAGAAACTAAGTAACTGGGAGTTCTAGGCCTGCCTTAGGCACAAAGCCAGCTACTGGTAGGTGACCTTGTGCTAATCACTTTCTCTCAGCCCTAGAAAGAAGGCAACGGCAAACCACTTTTGAAAAACCTTGCCAAGTAAACCTCAGGGTCTTGTCAAAGTGGTCTCGGAGAATTGGACATGACTGAATGGGAATATATATATATATACTACAAATAGAAGCATTTATATTATAAATAAAAACTGTAGTATGGAATTCAGGGCCTGTGACATCTGAAATTGCATTTCGATTTGTAAATGTTTTTTGTCTTAATTAACCCTGAGATTCATTAGAACAAAAATATATCATATGGTCAAGCACTTTTTTCTCCCCTTTCCCTTCAGAGAGATATTAATATAATTCTAAAAGGCTAACCTCTAACCCAATACATTATAGATACATAGACCTTTAATTATTAGAATTCCTGTGCATTTCTGGCTATGCTGTCTGGAGAGTCTAATTTTTGTATATTATCTTAATGAAACTGTAGTTTACCGTGATGTTTGAACTATAAACACGAGCATTGGAAAGGGCGTGGCCGGCATCGGGCAATACAGTGTGGATTCTGGAGCTCCAGAAGAGCACCGATATCCCAGCTGATTTTGGGGATCCCTAGGGATCATAGCTGTCTTATAGGGACAGCGAAGAAAGAAGTCGCAGGCTGGCACAGATAGGGAAGGAGCAAGTTCCCTGAAGTACTGGCATTAGTCTTCGACCCATTGGCAAAGGAAGGCAGCCATGGAGCTGTCAAAAAGCCGGAATGGCCACGATCAGAAAGAGGAAGTGCAGGAGTGGTGATTGAACAGAGTATTGTTATCGGATAAGTGATTGGTCAACTCACAGGTAAGAAGAAAAAACTTTTAAAAGCTTGAAATAAGTCCCAACAAGCAATTAGTGGCTAATTTGCACTTGGGAATTTAAGCAGAGGGGGGAAAAAAAAGGAACTTTAAAGTTAAAACGAAAGCCCTAAAAGGAATCTTCTACCTGGATTTAAAATTGGATTTTGAAAAAAATAAAAACAAGACAAGGGAAAAGGAGACAGAGAAACATTTTTTAAACAATAAAAAGATTTAACTCGGAAGACAGGAAACGGGCGTTCCCGTGGAGTTATAAACTGGATACTTTGTTGCCAAAAGAGTTTTGAATTGAAGAGAGACATCTGCTGGAGGAGAGATCGTGGGAAAGAGCCGTAGGAGTATACAGCTGAAAAGACTAAGAGAAGTGGAGAGGACAAGGACTGAGATTGTGATGGCTCAAGTGAGCATTTGAACTGGGCACTATCTGGAAAGAAAAAGGAGATATTGCATGGACTTTGAAACTAGAAGTATAAGTAAATGAAAATAATAAATTGGAAAATTCTAGCCTTCTAAAGTGACAATATGGAGAATTGAGAGGATGAATGTGAGATATTAAGGGAGATGTTTGAAAAAATAAGAGAAGCGTTTAAGGGAAATAAGGAAGCAGAGGATTGGTTAGAAAGCAAGAAAAAAGAAAGAGAAAAGATGAATGAGAAGCAAGAGAAACAAGGAGAAAATATTGAAAAGGAAATAAATGAAAATAAAGATAAAGATGATTACACTGGGATTAACAGTGATAGAATAAAAATGGATAAGAGAGAATACATCTCAAAACTGAAAAGAAGAGAAATAAATGGGGAAATACTGAGAGGGAAAATTAACAGAGGAAATATTTAAGAAAAGAGGCAGAAAGGGAGATATAAGAAAAGGAAGAGGAAGAAGGTAAGGGAATGGGAGAAAGGGAGGAAAGCATCAAGAAATGGGATTCTGGAGAGTTTAAAAGAAAATGGTTAAGAATCAGTGAAAATATTAGTATGTTAACAAAGAGAAGGATGTTAGTTGTAGAAATTATATGTGAAATACTGTTTAATGTAAAATAGATCAGTAGATGAAATGTGAAAAAAAATGAACTATGTTTTTGATGTTGGAGGAAGCACTAAGTAGAGAGAAATAAAAGTAACAAAAGAATTAATTGAAATTAAGATGTGAATTGAAATTGAAATGTAAAATTGAGTGAAAATGAAATGTTAGTAAATGATGTAAATGACAGACTTGGAAGTAAAACAGAAGAAATATATTTTAAAGGGAAAAAAGCAAGGGTTGGAAGATTATTTTACAACGGTTTCAAGGAAAAAATGCAATAAGTTGAAATATTTGTTAATAATTAAAAAGAGGAGGGGAATTTCGAGTAATATTTTTTATTGAAAAAGTTTTACAAATACAAATTTTCCCACTTCCCCCCCCCTTTCCCTCCCTAACCCTCCCTAGCCCTCCCCTCCTCCCATGACTTCCCCAAGGTGAAATCCAAATCTAAATCATTTTATATCATATCATACTTTACCGCCCTTCTATTCTCCCCCCTGTGTACTATACATTTCTACATGACATTAAACTATTCTACCCCCTATATACTAGACATTTCTACACAACATTCAACTAAAAGCTATCTGGTACTTCCTAGTTTGGTATTTATTCTGCACATAATCTATCCATTTCTTCCACTCCCATACATAAGTCTCTTGAGTCCGGTCTTTTAAGTATGCTGATATCTTCGCCATTTCTGCAAAACTGGCCACCTTCAAAGTCCATTCTTCAATAGTAGGCAAAACACCCCTTTTCCAATATTGACCAATCAGTAACCTAGCTGCTGTCACCATATACAATATCAATTTTATTTCACCCATTGAAAAACCCTTAACTATGCCCAATAAAAACAATTGAGGAGAAAATTGGAGTTTTTTCTTGAGAACATTTTGCATAATCCACCAAATTTTTATCCAGAAAGCCTTCACTTTCTTGCAAGTCCACCATATATGATAATATGTAGCATCCAAACAGTCACATCTCCAACATTTTGGTTGAACATTAGGATACATGCATGACAATTTCTTAGGATCTAAATGCCACCTATAAAACATTTTATAAAAATTTTTCCTCAAATTCTGTGACTGCGTAAATTTAACATTCTGAACCCATATTTTTTCCCACGTTTCCATCATAACTGGTTCTGCAAAATTTTGTGCCCATTTTATCATACAATCTTTAACCAATTCCTTTTCTGAGTCTCTTTCTAACAAAACATTATAAACCCTCTTGATATGCATTGGGCCTTTCTCTTTTATCTGTCTAACCAATTCTTCTTCATGCAACATTAAACCAGTTTTTTGATCTTCTCTCCATCTCAGTTGATTATATTGTAACCAAGTTAAATTAATCCCTTCTTCCAACAGTGTATTTAATGTCTTTAGTTGCCATCTGCCCCCATCACTAAAAAGTACTTCTTTGTATAACACCCCCCCGAGTGACTTTATATTTATATTCCGTATAATATGACCAAGATCCAACCACAACGGTATTTTATAATCCCATTTGAACCGATGCTTCTTCCATACTCTCATCAAGGAGTTTCTAAGCATATGGCTGTTGAATACTTTATCCACTTTATTTTCGTAGAATAAATATGCATGCCAACCCAATTCAAGATCATAACTCTCTATACTCAATATTCCAGTCTTTGTCCTTCCAAACCAATCACTTGCTTGTGTCAACGCTGCTGCTTCATAGTACAGTCGTAGGTTTGGAAGTTTAAGACCACCCCTTTCACGAACATCTTGCATAATTTTCAATTTAACTCTTGGCTT